TGCCATATCTGGATAGCAGACGTATACAGACCTTCCCCCATTTTAAGCACTGGGTGATTATCTGAACCAATGCCTGTCATCGGCATTTGTTCACTGAAGTCAACCCTAACCCTAATGACTTTGATTCCAGATAGAAAACCTGCCCTATCAGGAGGAGCAGAGGAGACTCCAACCATTTCCTCAACTGAATTCAGTCCTAACCTGAAGATTTGAGGAAATGGGTGTAGTCTACTCTGCGCCTCCTGGGTCTGATAAAAAACCTGCAGCCACAACAGTCCTTTATGGACCTTTTCGGACACTTCTGGGCTGTAGACTCAGAAGGGTTGCTTCAGAGTCTACAACATCACATGCGATGCCGTAGACCAGACTCTTTGGGAAAGTGAGCTGTGTGTCTTTGACACATTGAGTGATGTACAATTCCATAACTTGGTGACAACTCAAAGAAACGGTTCCCAAAAAGTTTTGGTTCAGCAAAGTACAAATACTAAATAGCAAATTTTGTATTAGTATTAGAGGGTTCATGGGAGTTCGCCCAATCTGTCTACATGTGTTGTGGATTTGGAGAAGGCATTCGACCGTGTTCCCTGGGTGTCCTTTGCGGGGTTCTCTGGGAGTACAGGATCCCGGGAAACCCCAAAGGTTAGGGTTATGGTTAGAGGGTTATGGTATAGAGTTAGAGTAAGGGTTATGGGGATAGAGTTAGAGTTAGGATTAGAGGGTTAGAGTAGGGTTGGGGTTAGAGAACAACCGGAGTATGACCGGAGCCAGAGCTGCGTTTGCATCGCCTGCAGTAAGTCAGACCTGTTCCCGGTGCATGTTGGCCTCCGCCAAGGCTGCCCTTCGGTTCAGGATTTGCTCTTTGTGGACGATGTTGTCCTGTTGGCCCCAACGAACCAGGACCTGCAACATGCACTGGTATGGTTTGCAGCAGAGTGTGAAGGGGCTGGGATGAGAATCAGCACCTCCAAACATGAGTGCTTGACCGGAAAAAAGGTGCTTTGCCTTTCGGCTTAGCTCCCTCTTCACCACAACGGTCCGATACAACGACCGTGTAACATGTGTAACTTTTATTGGAAAATAAAATTAATTTGTGAACATAAAAGTCTTACTGTTTTCTAGTTTAATGTAAAGTTTTACTGTCTTTTCAGTAAAAAAAAAAAAAAAGCAGTCAGAATGTAACACACTTGATTCAAGCAATTACTACCTGATATTTTATAATTTTTTGCAGTGTTGGTCCCTGAACTTTACCAGGCTTGAGGTCAGCCCCTTCCACTCGAGCTTATATTGCTTTAGGAACAAAGATACTTCAATAGAACCACCAAAATCACTCACAATGATTACATATATAATCATGTGAATCATAGACTTCTCCAAACCCTGAGCACAAACTAAACCTGGAATGCAAGAGATGACACCTTGACTCCAAATCTGGCAAATACAGTATTATACTAATAAAAATTAGCCAGTACAATTTGGTTTATAACCATAAATATCACTCGACATCATCTAAACCAGTGTAGCTTAAAAAATGTGCTTAAAAATGTAGATCTGTTTAACGGTGTGTGCAGCAGAATCATATATTTTACTTATTTTCATAGAGACACGTCAAAGTTCCTGTGTTATTCAATGGAGAGACACACGCATGGATCAGCACCACCTCCTTTGCGAGATGCAGCGAGGGCCGTTGGATGCTGCTTGCGGCTTTCATTTTCTTTGCATTGATAGTTAAAATACATTGTCATTTCAGTTTCGCATTGTTAAATGAACTATTTCATTGTTGTAAATTATTATTATTATTTTTTTACACAAATAAGATAACAATAATAAATACAATTTTTATGTTTTGTTTTGTTTTTATTGAGCACTCCCGAGGAATACATAAGGATAAAATGTGTTTGTGTTTTCCTCTGTGCGTCTGCTTCACCTGGATCAGGTCACGTGTGATTGGTCAAAGTAAAAACAAGAATATTAGTGAAAGAAACAAATGATTCACTCATAGTTAGGCCTGTCACGATTACAAATTTTGCTGGACGATTAATTGTCTCAGAAAATATTGTCGTTCTGAGATCATTTTCATCTATACAATGATAATGATGCAGGTACACCTTTTCAAAGAGAAATACACTTTTATTTTTAAAGACCACCGCCGGAAGTGGCGGAAGTAAGCCGCTAGCATCATGCTAATAATCTTGCCAATAATGCAGCTCTGCAGCATCTCTTTGTTCAGAGACCTTCCAGAGACTTTATATAACAGCAGCATGTGTTCACGGAGGTGCTTCATAAGTTTATTTTATTATTAAACTGTACTTCCGCATTGGCGAATACGCTAATGCGAGTTGCGCTAGTTTAGTCACTACTAGAGTCTGAATGAGAACAACTACTGTGTCCCCGATTGTCAATCCTGTTTAAGTCCTGGTTTAATTATTGTTTTAGTTATTTCAGTCTGCTTGCTAGACCGCTAATGTTTCGTGACCACTTTGCGGCTCTCTGACCCGAGAGAGAGAGGGAGAGAGACGGGAAAACAAGCAAGCATGCAAATGGAATTTATCGCGGCCAGGAAAATGATCGAGCTAATTTTAATTATCATGCGATTAATTGATTTTTTGAATATCGCGACAGGCCTACTCATATAGTTATAACTCTAAAATATCTAAATGTTTGCAAAATATAGAGTAAACTTGCATTTATCCCAATTACTACATCTTTTGAGACATTGTGCAGCCCTACTAATGACTCAAAATGGCGCAATAAGGTCCTATGTTTTAAGAAAGACTAATGGGTTTCTTAGTGAAAGTGTTTGTCTAGTTTTGGTATTTTACAGTATTGATCATAATGTCCCATTAGCACTCCATGCAGGCCTTTACTGTCAACACTTACTGACAATTCCCTTCAAATGTTTTAAGAAAATGGATCCCGTGCACTGATAATGTGCCCTTGTGCTTCCATTAGGCTAATGATTAGGAGCATGAAAATCAACAGAAATGAAGAGCAAATACATTTACATAGACATCAGTTCAAAGCATTAAAAGGAGCGAAAATGCTCTAAAAACAATAATAACCAAGTGTTTAAATGCCAAAAGATAACAACTTCAATGTGGCCAAAAGCTTATGTTTACTATAAAAATATATACAGTATATTGAAGGAGATAAGCAGGTGACACAGGCTTATCTTACACCAATTAGAACAATACAATATAAAAAGACAGATATTAAAATTATGATTAGCAGATCCTTTATTCTTCCCTCAGTGGGGAAATCTCAGTGTTTTTACAGAACAGTAGGAACGGTGAGCACATAACTTTAGCATGAAAAAGAAGCAAGTATAAAATCTCTAGCTTTATAGTAATAAGGAAGCAAATCTAAAATCTCCAACTTGTACTTGATTCTTGCAGAATGAAGAAGCAAGAATCAAGTACAACATCTCTGACTTTAGCATAATAAATAGTAAGTATAGCTAGACAAATTGTGGTTAATTGGGCCTCAATCATGTAATATCGATGAGGATAGTTGTTTTGGCTTCATAGATTTCTGAGACAAAAGACTGAATGGTTCAACAAGACGAGGTTTTAAGATAACATATAAAACCAATCTCCTGTCAATTGGTCTCAGAATTATCCGAAGAATTCTTATGACGACTTTACAGGATGGTCCAAAAGTCTGCTCTTGGCTCAACGCTACGTTCCAGATGCTGTCAATGCTAAGAGGATTTTTTTTTGTTTTTTGACCAGCCTAGTTTAGCCTCTGTAGACTTTTGAATGCACCCGTTAAATGAATGGGGTTTGTCCCGGCTAACGCATGCATAAATGTGTTTTTTCACATTTTCCTGGGGGAAGGGCTGTTTGCGGCCATTTTCTGTGTTATGTTTTTATGTCTAATGCTGCTCAAACAAATTTCCTCTGGTGGGATAAATAAAGTAGTCTGAATCTGAATCAAGAAAAGCCAAGTCTGGGTTTTGTCAAGGGACTCCCAACCTGTTCCGTTCACAGCCTAAAGATATACAAATGACAGTGTGTAAATTCTGTCGGTCAAAGCTAAACCTCATAAAATAGTACTTATACACATTCTTGACCGTATAAACATTCTTGGTTTTAGCCAAACGGTAAACCTCAGTTACCCCGTCTTATTCATCTTTCTCCTTTATAGTAGAGAAACTACATCCTTGTTGTAATGAGCTCTCTTCATTCCCTATGGGCCTTCTTTAATCCACTTAAACTGATCCAGCACTTAGCAGCAGGTGAGCACCTTTCATTGTAAACCGTTTCAAAGTTAAGTCGCAAAATTGACTTGACGATTCAATTGTAGAGGACCGGTCCTGTGTGCGAGGGTCTGGAGGAGCAGGTGTGGCAGGTCCTTGTGGAGCCAGGACGTCCCATAGCCGACAGAAGTCCACATCCAACCTCTCCTCTCCTCCTCCTCTTTAGATTTTAATTAGGAAACTGAAGCAGACTATGAGTTGGATCCATTTAAAAGATAAATTTGTATTTACCTCAAAATAGGTATTGAACATTTAGTACATCTCCAAACAGGGACTAGGGAGAGTGCAACAAACGTATGCTATAAGGAATCTAAATGTGTCGACTTTGCAATGACTGTCTGTAGTTCAGCT